AACTCTCTGTGAGGACATTCAGACTAATGGGTACATAGTATGTTTCCATAGCACTATAAACCCATAATTCAGGATATTTCCAGCCATGCAGGTACCTTTTGCTCTAAAATGTGACTCTCATTCTTCAGACTACAAAGTGCAAGCAAAATCCTTCTCTGGTCTTGCACAGGTGCAGTAGTTACACATCCTTTAATGATCTGCCGTAGACATCTCCTTCCCAGTGCTCCAGAGTGTCTAAAGAAAGCACCATTATTACGGCTGATGGGCTTTATCCCTAACAGAAGATGTATTTTGCAAGCATTTTTGGCCTTCTTCCTTTAGTCCAGCAGCATCCTGCCTAAAATGTGCTGTGTGGAACACCCAGGCTGATGTTCTCAGTCAGTGGCTGTGTCTCCCATAACTGGCAGGATTTCCACCCCACTTCTTGGGCTGCTGAACAAAAGGCAGGAGATAAAATCCACTAAAAGGCTGTCAAGTAAGAAGCCTGATGATCTTATGGAGGGAAGTAGTCCTGTGCCTAAACCCTTTTGTGTTGGCCAGGGCAGAGGATTGATGAAAACCACCCGACGTAGTGGTTCTCAACAGCAATTGGGTATCAGCAGTGCTTGTGCTTAGTGTTCCTTTTCAAGTGTAAAAGGGGTAGAAGGGACCTTACTCACCTTTGAGGGTAAAATGAACTGCCCAGAGGGGTAGTGGCTTCTCCCATGCTGGAAATATTTCGTACTTGGCAGGGTCCTGAATAACCTACCCTGAGGCCTTGCCTTCAACAGAAAGTTGGACCAAATGATGCTGAGTCCCTTCCAGCCTGGACTTTTCTATTAGACACTTATGGTTTACACAAATGCGTAAACCTATGTAGTCACCTATGTGACTACCATCACAGCAACACTTTAGCTCCCATTAAGTCCTAGTTCTTTGCTGGCATTCTTCCTCTTTCCATTCTTCTCCCTTACTCTCTGCCCTCAATTCTGATCTGGAAAAGATCTATTTTTACAAGTAGAACTTAAAGAGAAAATGTGAAGTTTCAACTGCTGAAAGTTCGGGAAATAAACCACATGAAATTGCCAGCTCTTTATTTGTCGCTCAGCTTCGTCCCCTGACCTCAGCGTTGTCTCTCAGCAAAGAGCTATCCTAGTGCAGCATGTACTAAGCCTGTAGGGTGTCACTGTAGCATACCTCCTGTGGCATCAGGATTCCTAATTTTTATTGTGCTTGAACAAAAAAAATCTCATGCTGCAGTTTTGTCACTATAGAAGGACTGACCACAGTAGTTATCATCCTTACTTGTTTCTAAACAAATACTGTGTATTTTTCAGTCTTGAGCTGTGAAACCTCAGGCAGAACATGAACTGGTAACCACACATTGCTTTTTGAACCTTCCCCCATTTCGGAGTAGGAGCTCTACTGCTGGAGGTGATGACAAATCGAAGGGCAGAGGCACCAGAACGAATGCACATCTGTTACCGAAGGACACAAGTTTCCTTGAAAATGTTTGCATCCCAAGTGTCTGGACAGTAAAAGTAGTTACTGGGATTTCCTGTCCCTGGAGAGTCACTGCAAAGTGGTACCCTTGTTTTACAGACCTCTAAATGGTGATATTTTTCTAGATGTGATCCACTCAACAAGCCTTCCAGCCAAATCAGGAGATCCTTGGTAGGCTGCCATCCAGAGGAGCTGTGTGTTGGTAGTAAAGTTTCTCATACCCTAATTATGTAAAGGAGCACATAACTTTTAACAGAAAACTGTATGTGCTGATCGTTACATTAGCCCACTGATAAACCAGGGCACATTATCTGTGCCTCACTTTGGGTAGCATCAATGCATCATCTTTCTGAAATTTCTGAAGAAATTTCCAGCACTACGTAATTGGCATCATTGGGAATCAAAGGAGAAAGCAACAGGCAGCAAATGATCCTTCAGAGCTGCTCTGATGGTGCACAGGCTGGCATGGGGCTCGGTAGACAGCTGTCCAGTTAAGTGGTGGAGTGATGTGAGACAGAGGCGAGGAAATGTTGCTGGAGGGAAATCACAACCAACAGCTTGGCCACAGGGTAAAGCAAGAGTAGCACTTGTAACTGGTCAGTAGCAAAGGTAGAGGATGGGAAGGCAGAGAAGAGGGCGGAAGAAAGGGACATGTCATCTCCTGCATGATTGTTTGCATGCAATTGTGCAAGCCTTTTAGCAGGGCCTGTTGCAATAGGACAGGGGGTAATGGTTTTAAACTAAGAGAGGATAGATTTGGATTAGATATAAGGAAGAAGTTTTTTACAATGAGGGTGGTCAAACACCAGAAACGATTGCCCAGTAAGGTGGTGGATGCTCCGTCCCTGGAAATGTTCAAGGCCAGGTTGGATGAAGGTATGAGCAACCTGATCTAGTTGAAAATGTTCCTGTTCACTGCATAGGTGTTGGACTAGGTGATCTTTAAGGTCCCTTCCAGCTCAAACCACTCTGTGATTCTGTGATAAATGGAGATGTAACTGGAGCACTTGCTTCCCTGCCTTGATAGTGTTTTCATTGCTATGAAGCAGCAGCCTGCTAACTCGGGGTAAACAGAGGCTTTTTGTGGTGAGACAGAAACCAAGAGTCTGTGGGTCTATTACAGACTTTACCAGGGTAATTTGAAGACAGGCAGGTTAAGACTTTGATCTATTTCTTTCCTTTTTTTAATCCATTTGCAAAGTCCATGTCAATAGAGCTGTGAAAATGGAACATGGTTTGGTTTTGCTATGAGCAAATTTTGCCTCAACTGTGCATCTGTCTCTTAAAATATTGTCTTCGTCAAAGGACAGGTGTCCTCAGGAAAAAAATATCAGGCAGTGCCACTTCCACAAATGATGCTCGTCTTCATTCATCCTCCAGTTTTTTTCTCGTCACTTTGTTTCATAGTACAATATTTCACATAGATTGTTACTGTAAATGTTAAACAGTACTCTGGTACTTCATCATGAGTTTCTGTACTTGTTTGCTTTTAATTAACAACTTTATTCAAAGTCAGCAAGACTTCTCACACGTGCCAAAGTTAAGCCCATGCTCAGCATAACTAGTGGATGCACGTGGGGGAGCTGACTTGCTGGGCTGCGGCACTTTACCGTAAACGTTGAACAGTACTCTGGTACTTCATCGGGAGTTTCTGTACTTGTTTACTTTTAATTAACAACGTTATTCAAAGTCAGCAAGACTTCTCAGAAGCGCCAAAGCCCATGCTTGCATAACTGGCAGATGCAAGGAGAGGGAGCTGACTTGCTGGGCTGTGGCGCTTGAGACCCGAGCCTTGCCGTGGGAGGAGGTTGTGCTTTGGAAAGTCACTAATTTCCAGCCCCCCTGTGGTGCTAAGGCTTTAAGGGGTAGGGAAAAGGATATGCACTTGTTTGAGCTGCATACGAACCACTAGCCAGGTTTTACTGGGGGCTACCAGGCCTATCTGGGTGTCTTCTGCTGACCTTGTTACGGCCATCAGGACACAGTTACCAAATGGAGTTGTTGCCAGGCAGTCACATTAACGAACGGCCAGCGTTAATTTGCCCTTTGAAAATGAAGAAATCAATATGTTGATCCAGTTGGAAATCCCTTTATTCACAAAACATTTTACCCCAAACCCCTCCACATAATTAAGGCTAAAGCCAAATTTTGTTTGGGTGAAACATGCAATCTGTCTGCTCCCTAAGCTGTGCTGAATGAAGTTCTCTCCTAATGGCACAGGGAGCAGCTGTCACACTGTTGCTCTAATAACCATGAGCCAAAATGATTAAATTTCTATCAATCATTTAGCATTATCAGAATAGGTCATTTTAATAAAATGTTATCATAGGATCAGTGCCTGGCACCTTAGAAAGGAGACAGTCTTTGAGTGATCCTCCTTGCAGAAGATGCCGGTCCAGATTAAACCAACAGTTCCACTAAATCCGCCATTTTTCATGGGGGTGCCTGATAGCAGGATCTTGAGAGTGAAGACATTCCTGCAGTCAATTCAGTGGCTTTTAGGTTTCAGCCGCTGTCCCATTGTTCTTGCACTGTATAAAAAAATCCTCAATCATTCATTTTGGGGAAAATCCTTAACAGGTAGTAAGTGGTATGAGGGGCTAAGCCCTGTTTTCAGAAGCCATTTCAGAGCCAGAAGTTACATGGCAGCATGTCTACCAATTGGACTTTCTGAAGATCTGACAGGATTCCATGGGAGTGTTGAAATGTCCATGCTTTCCGAAAGCCTACTTGGTGCCTTCCTGTATCTTTAAGCCACCTCTAAAGCCCTGGTCCCCTGGCCCCCTTGGTTGAAATGTTCATCTGTTTTCAGTGTTTTACCTACTTACCACATCCCTTCATGGTCATCTCAATTCTGGATCCAAGGTGTCTTTGCAGCGTCTCTCCCTCTGCAGAGAAGTTTCATGGCTACAGAATAAGATGGACCCTAACCCAGTTTTTAAAGCCAGGTGGACCCTGTCTGCTGATGGTGTATTGTGTGAGCAGGAAAATGGAGAACTCTGAAGTCCACACTGAAATTCGTGGCTCCTTACTGCTTCTTTTGAGCCTCTCCTGCAAGGCTGGCTGTCGATGTCAAACACTGACAGAAGATTTATCCAGCCTTATCCAGCCTTTTGGTGATGCTGAGAAAGGGTGATCATGAAAAATGGAGAAAAGCTGGAGAATCCTTCCATATTTCACCTGCAAATACACTTAACAAATAGACAATGCACTGGGTTTCTGTAAATCAGATTTGGCCATCATTTTTCTTTGGAGAGAGGGTTTTTTCTTCTCTGTTTGGGAGCAGCTATATCAGCAACAAAACACTCAAACCTTGGCAAAGGAGAAGCATTTTCAGGCAGGATCACAGTGCAACATATTCCTTGCTATATGGTTGAAGCTTCTGGGTGCAAACAAATCTAAATTGCTCGTCAGTGTAAGCTGTTGTTGGGTTTGGATGTGTGCTTGGTTGCCTTTTTTGTTGTGCTTTTTTCCCATATGCAGTAATCTCACTGTCTTTTCTTCTTTTTCCTCTCCAGGCCCTCAAACTGACACGAGATGTAGAGAGAGAACCCTTTGCCAAATCTGCTGTCAGCAAGTGGACAGTGATACTGTTTACAGCTTACAACCTTTGTGAACCCTGCATTATTTTCCTAATGAAGCAGACTGTTAATAGGCCCCTGACTGGAGTGAAGATCCTACTTCTTTTTTTTTTTTTTTTTTTTTTTTTTTTTTTTTTTTTTTTTTTTTTTTTTTTTTTTTTTCCCCCCTTCTTTTTTTTTTTTCCCCCCCCTCCTCTTTTTGTTGGAAATTGAACTCATTCTGAAGTATGCAAAATCTTCCTTTTCTGGGATGGCCAAGCACCTGCTGTGGAGACAATGTTCAGCACCATCCTGTTGAGAACACACTGTGTAGCCTTTACAGTAGTTACTTGTCAATGAGTATGTGGTGTTTCAATATATTAATGGTTTATGGGATGTTTTAAGTTGGTTTTCCTTTTGGAGGTTTTCCCCATCTGCCCAGCCTCCCCCCTACAACCTCCAGTTTGATTTCCTTAGATTTTATTGACCTTTTTTGCTTTCTCGCCCTGGGGAATTTGAAGTACTGTGCACACGCAAGGAAATGATCATAACCCAACACTGCTCAGGTGTCAGGGTTTTTGAATATACAGCGTTTGTTAGGCCGATCAACTGGCTGAATTCCGGAGAGAGGGGATGCGCGTGGCCTGTTCGTTTGTTTGTTGGGTTGGTTGGTTTGTTTCTTTTTTATTCTTTCCTTAAATTTAATGGTACACCCCTGCCTTCCATAAGTGTCAAACCAGAGCTGACTGCAAAATGAGGGAAGATGGTGGGTTTGCCTCTTGGCACACGAGGGCGGCCTGACAGCGGGTGCCGTTGCGCTCACGTGCCCCAAGGCAGGAGCCCGTGTTCTGCCCAGTGGAGCAGGCTCCCCTCCTGCCTTATGTTGGTAAGGCTGCTCCTACTGCCTCAGTGAGCTGGTGACAAGTTATGGGCTGAGCTGCCAGACGAGGTGAACGTAGCCACCTGTAGAGATGCTTTGAAAAAGCAAAAAGTGAGGAAAATGTAGCAGCTGGGCATCGGCAGGTGACTTGCAGTGACAATGCCAGGACCTGAGGCACAGGTCACTGCAGGGTGTGTTACTGCATCAGTGATCCTTTTTTGTTGTTGTTGTTGTTGTTGTTTTAGACATATCCTTGATTATTTTTTCCTTCTCATTATGTATAATCCGTTGTGGCAGAAGACGCAGGAGTGGGAATGGCAATTTGACAGTATCATACAAATGGCTTTTTCATATGAGCAGAGATTGTATCAAGACAAATGACACTGAAAGACAAGGCAGTTTTATATATTTTGCTTCTAAGATTTTCTTTTATAAAATGAATAATAATTAATAATAATAATGAATAAAAGGTATGGTGCTGTATAGATCCTCTCTATAATCTGGAAAGTTTGATTACTTTTTATTAGTATCTTGGGGGGAAAGGGATACAAAAAAAAGAGGGGAAAACACCAGTGGTACATAGGAACTCAATATGAAGAGGTTCTGAACAGGACAGTGTATACATAATTCTCCAAAGCGATATATGAAGTTTTTTTTTTTTTCTTTGCATAAAAGCATTATGCATATAAATATATAAATATATTTTATTATGTACAGAAATGGATCATTATGCATGGATGTTAGGAAAACAAACTAGCATTTTAACCCAAAGTCTCAGTGCATGAGTTCCCACCGACACGTGTCCCATGCAATGTGGAGTGACTCCCTCTCGCCACTGCCACCGCACATGCACAGCCATGCACACATGCGCGCATTTGTGGGCCCTTCCTCACTCCTCACTTTCCAGGTCCCTGAGGTGATACAGGTGAAACAACAGCTCCTAGTGTGATGGAAGTTTTGTTTTTGTACCGTAGCCTCCACGCTGTTCTCTCATAAAGATGCACCTCTTGGTTTCTCCCCACAGTTATGACTGTGTAGGCTCTGTGCAGTTGTGGTTAGCATAGCCCTGTAGCATATCAACTCTTCCAAGCAGCCAAGGGTTTATCATCTGCCTTTTAAAAAAACTTCTCTTTTTTACACTGAGGTGGTCTATTTGTCAGAGTGTGGCTTAGTTTATTGCGTTCACTGGAGCTGGCTTGTGCTCATTGCCCGTCTCTATCAGAAGCCAGCCTCCCAGGATGATTGTGTGGCACACCTGGGCACCTTGCTTATTGGAATCCAGCTGCAGGCACCTTTTACTGAAATTGGCCTAGGGTTTATCACTGTCCTCCTCTGAGCATGTACCATTAGCTCTCAGCTTCCCAGTACACCCCAAAATGTGAGTGTGTGCTGAAGGACTCTCCTCTAGTGCTTCTTTCTGTGAGGCTTCTTTGCAGCTGCCACCCTGTGGCTGGACTTGTCCCCTGGCCCCATGGTTTTTGGCTGCAAGCAGAGTTCACTCTGTGGCTCCCCATGCTGGGGTGCAGCATTTGATCCCTGCATGATCCCTCTCCAGTAAGACCCGAGGTGCCTGCCCAAAGACCCACCAACCAGGTCACTGACAGATCCAGTAAGGCCTGACTTGATGGTATGGCCAAGCTGACCAAAACCCATAACTTTTTTTTGGTCTTGGTACAGACTAAGTTCTTGTCAAAGGCAAGGGAAGGCCTGTTAGCTTGAACCAAGTGGGGGCAGCTTCTGCTCTGTTCTGGCAGCCTAGCCTGCTGGAGTTCAGTGGAGCTGGCTCCTGCTGACAGAAATGAGAGAGAGAACTATGGCCTGCTCTGTTCAGAAAATGGAGAAATAGCACCTGATTTAAAGACAGCCCATCAACAGCAGAGAAGTTTTTTTAAAAAAGTAATAAGAGCATTAGCAGCTGAAAGGCTTAACCTCCCTCCCAGCAATGTCAAGGAGAGCATTTCCATTGGCATGGCTGGAACACCTTGAGCCCCTGCTTTGGAGAACATCTCAGCACTTGCTGAAGAGGGTTGGACTTGGCCTTGGTTTGGTTTCTATTGCTCATTTTTGGGACCAAACTTTTCAAGCGCAAGTGCCTGGTGTCAGGCACTGAATACTGGAGACTCCGGTGTGGTCGCAGAGGTTGAGCTGCTCTGTCCTCGTCACTTCTTGAAGGAAGGGGAAGTGACAGGTCCTCCCAGGCCCAGGGGAAAGTCATCATCCTCTACACCTGCTGAGGTGCCCAGCAAGGTTCCTTCACTCCAGAGGTGCTAAATAAATCTCACTGAAATTCAAAGGGCCACTCACTTAGGTGTCAAAATACAGACTTGAGCCACTAATTTTGGGAACCTACCTTTTGAAAATTTGGCCTTTGAGTCTGTGGTGGTTTTAATCTCGGCCTTCCCTGGTTACCAGTTTGTAACCAAGGAAGGGGCAGTGTTTGAACATGTTTATGCCTAGAAGTTTTTCTTATGAAATCATGTCAAACAGATAAAGGTCGTGGTCACAATTACGTGGTTATCATTTGGACACTTGGTCTAAACAAAAGGTCTAAAAAGATGTTATTTATGCAGTTTCTAGTCACAGATTGGGGCTTGATTTAATGATTTTGTAAAAAAAAATTTCTCTTGAGAATAATGGGATAGTTAAACACTGTTGAACTCCAGAAATTTTTGTGCCACTGCTTAAAAAAGTTACCTTTCAGGTTATGTATTTCTCTAAAATTATGTCATTGCTTGGCAATCGGTGTCCTGTAAGTGTTTCTAGTACACAATATACCTTTGGAATTGCCAACAGATGCGCAGGGGGACCAGATACATTTCGTTACTATGGGTTGGAAAAAATGGATTGTACATTTGGCTTCACATGTTTAACTTTTTTTTAAAAAGTTGCATGATTGGAAAAAATATGTATACAGTATCTGTAAAACTGTTTTATCTGTTTCTGTTTCAAGCCATGTAAATTGGAAGAATATTAAATCCACAGCCTTATTGCGCATGGCCGTCTTTACATACCGAAGAGCTGAACAGTTTATACTTTTCATTTGGGCTATCTTGTACTTTCATTTGAAAGCAGACACTCTCACGTTGCAGTCTTACTGAGGATTTTTTATTTAAAAAAAAAGAAAAAAAAAGAAAAAAAAAAGATGCTGCCCTGGAGGAATATATTACCTTACTACTCAGAGGTTGGAAGGAAGTTTGTTTTGGAGCAAAACCTGCCCCTTTCCAAACGAAGTAGAGACGCAGTGCTTACTCCACTTGGTGTTAGTAGATATTGCCTTGTGTATTCCATTTTAAATTGTAATCTAGTTTGTAAAAGAGATGGTGACGCATGTAAATAAAGCATAATGGATCTCTACATTGCACATTTGCCTTCCCTCCGTTTCATTGTGTCATGGACAGACATGTAAACACAGGACCTGGAGAAGGGGTGATTTCCAATCAGCAGGTGAGAATGGGTGCTGGGGGCGGGTCTGGGGCTCCCAGTCCTGCATCCAGTAGTATCTGTAAATGTGTATTGACATGGGTCTCTGCACTTCAACCCTTCAGCAAAGCCAGCATAGTTTTGGTGGTCAAATAACCCCCAGTGGGATCATTTACTGCTGCTAAAAAAATCACAAAGTTCACTTGATTTTCGGGACGGGGTGGGGTTGTCCCCTGGGGTGGCAGCTGCACCCTGCAGCTGCAGACGAGCTCGCCTGACCTTGGAGACAACCAGACCAACTGCAGACCTGTTGGAGAAGATTTACACACCCACCCCTACCCCTTCTTCCCCCACTGTGGGCTTGGCTCGGTTTCAAGCTGTCTTTGAAAAAATGCCTGGAGTACTTAAAACCACCCATCTGGGATTTGGGATAAGAAAACCAGCAGCCTGACTCAGCAAAAAGCTATACTGAGGGCTCTGGCCAAGGCACTAGGGAGCATGCTCAGAAACATGAGATGTGGGAAAAAAAACTCTTCTCCCACCCTAATGGGAAGCCCCAGATGTATATGGGGTTTTGGAGTTGTTTTTCAAGAGCAAATTATATTTTCAAGAAAGAAGAGCCTTTCCTCACAGGAGGGAAGGATTTCAGATGACTCCAGGGGGACAGCCTCCATGATATCCGTGCAGAGCCCACAGGAATGCAGTGCTGAAGTAGCACAGCCATAAAGTGCAGCTTGGGGATATCCCTTGTTTAACAAAGCAAAAGCTATTCAGGCTTTGTCCTAAATAGAGATAGCCTGAAATATTACGAGATCCAGTCAGAGAATAGCCTTTGACCAGGATG